CTGGTCAGGCTCCGACCGCCCCCCCTAGAATGTTAACGAATTTGTGTTTAAGCCACTGTTTGCGGTAATTTGTTAGAGCAGCCACGGAGAAGTCATAGAGCAGGAATAGAACCACCTTCACTTTCACAGTGTTATTTGGAATGTTTATCTGCCACTCTCCCCTGCCAGCAGATGTACTTTTTATAATGTATTTTAAGCTTAAAAAAAAAAAAGTTTCAGCCTGCTTTCCTCAAGCAGTGCTAGGATCTGAATATTTGTGTCCCCCCCAAATTTAGATGCTGAAATCCTAAGCCCCAATGTGCTAAGTATTAGGAGGTGGGGCCTTTGGGAGGTGCTTAGGTCATGAGACTGGACCCTCGTGAGTGGAATTAGTGCCCTTAGCAAAAAGGTTCCAGAAAACTCCCTAGCCCCTTCCACCGTGTGAGGACTGAGCCCGAAGGCACCACTTATGTACCAGGGAGAGGCCTCTCCCTAGACACAGAATCTGCTGGCACCCTGATCTGGGTCTTCCCGGCCTCCAGAACCGTAAGAAATACATTTCTGTGATCTATAAGCCACCCAGTCTGTGGGGTTTTGTCATAGTCCCGGAAAGGCCTAAGACAAGCAGATCATTTAGAACCAAGGAAAAGCCCCACCAAAGGGCTGGCGGGCGGTATGAGCCACCCAGGGGTTACAACCTGACGAGAGGGCAGCCGCAGACTGTCACCCATGGGCAACTGAAAACATGGGTTTAAAAAGTCAAAGGCAATGCTGCTGGTTGTTCTCAGGAAGAAATTTTTTTTTTTTTTTTTTTTTTTAAATCAGGACAACCAGAGGCTTCTTGCAATTTAGACCATAAAATTCCACTCAGGAAGGACATAATTACTTCAGTTCTACAACTCTGAAAATTCTGATAAGCAACCAGCCCAGGAACCTTGTCAACATGACACTATACAGTAGCATGTGATAGGAAAAACCAAAATAAAGCATGAAGAGCCTCAGTCACAAAGCGCTGGATTCAAACGCTTAATTCCGCAAGCGACCCAAACGCTCAGCACTGGCTTCAACGGGCTGCAGGGAAAGGGTCGCCGCTCTGCTCCTTGGCCACTGAAGCACTTCGTACTCCGAGCAACCATCTCTATCAGCCGAAACCAAGGGTTCCCCAAATTCCACGGCGCGTCACCTGGAGGGCTCGTTAAAAACAGTGCTGAGCCCACCTTCAGAGTTTCTGATTCAGGACGTCTGCCGAGAAGGGGCCCAAGAATTTGCATTTCTAGCAGATTCCCACATGAAGCTGGTGTCACCTCTTGCTTTTTGAGAACCACCCGTATGAATCTATTATCCTTACCTGAAAACCAAGGGGGGGGGTGTCAGAACCAGGTTTTCGTGTATGAAGAACGGAGCCTGGCCATGTGAATCGTTACAGAGAATTTTTGGCTTCTGGGAGGATTTCTTTTCCCTCGCTTTGCAAAGAACACAAAAGAGCCTTTGCTTACACACCCACCGATAGTCTGAAATAGCAGACCACATTAGGGTTGAGGCCTCACTACTCACCAGTACAAGCAGAAAATGATGGCTTGTGGAACCGACGGTAGGCGGATGAGGGGGTTGCAGGGCATGCGGAGTTGGGTCTCATCTCCCGTTCTTGTGGAAAACCGACAGTGGCGGCCCCCTCTCCCATTCCCATAAAATGCAACGAAGCCAGAGTGCCATTTTCAAAGGCAAACTGGATCGTGCCACTTCCCTGCCCCACATCTTTCTTTGCTCTTAGAATAAGATTCCAAACTCTCTACCAAGCTCTGCGAGGTCTTTGAGATCCAGCCCCTGTCTGCTCCTTGACTTCATCTCCAACCTACACTTGGTCTACATGCAAAACGTACAAGTCAGCTTTCAGTTCTTCAAATGCATCAGTTTCTACCCAGGGCCTTTACAACCTGCCACACCTGGGCCCGCTGTTCCGGCTTAGCACCTTGTCACCTCCGCTGTGAGGTCCGCCTTGATCGCTTATCTAAGAACCTCCACCCCAGCTCCTCACAGTCACGCTAACCTGTTCTAGAGATGAGTTCATTTACCCACTTGCTTGTTTACTGCCCATTTCCCTTCACTAAAATTTAAGACGTGAGAGCAGGAATCTTGGTTCATCTCATTCCCCACTCCGGCCCCAGCAACCAAAACACCAACTGGAATGTAGAAACCACGCAAATTGTTCTTGAGTGAACAAATAAGCCAGTCAAAAGAGAGACATAGGGGCGCCTTGGTGGTGCAGTCAGTTGGGTGCCCAACCCTTGGTTTCGGCTCAGGTCGCATCTCAGTGTGGTGGGATCAAGCCCCATCGCTTGAGATTCTCTCTCCCTCTCCCTCTGCCCCTCCCACTCTGCTCTAAAATAAATGAATAAATCTTTAAAAAGAAACAAAATAGGGGTGCCTGGGTGGCTCAGTCGTTGGGCGTCTGCCTTCGGCTCAGGTCATGATCCCAGGGTCCTGGGATGGAGCCCCGCGTCGGGCTCCCTGCTCGGCGGGAGGCCTGCTTCTCCCTCTGCCACTCCCCCTGCTTGTGTTCCTGCTGTCACTACCTCTCTTTGTGTCAAATAAATAAATGAGATCTTTAAAAAAAAAAAAAAAACAGTGAGAGTCACTCACTGCTCAGTGCTAATTTAAGTACTTTTTGTCTATTAGCTCATTTAACATTCACAGCCTAGGACACGGTTACTATTCGTAGCCCAAGCATGTGGGTGAAGAAACTTAGGCGTGAGGGGTCATCTGCCCACGGCCGTAAAGCTAGTTAGTAGTCGAGCCAGGATTTGAGCCCAGGCACCTATAGCTACACAAATTATGTACTAGAGTGCAGTACCTCTGCCTCCCGGTATCACTGGGATCTGGTTTTTTCACAAGTGCACATTAAAGAGAATGCCCTTCCAATTCACATGCCAACATTTTAGTCTACAGTCTCCCATTGCGGCCCTTGGATGAAAACAAAGATTTTATATGCAAAGTGGTTTAGTTCCTACTACCAACTGTTGGAGGTTTCTAGCACATGTCTTCTCAAAGAACTCCTTTTCTCAATATTCACAACCTCTTTCTAAATCAGGGCAAGACTCTTGATTAATTTCCCACTACCTGGGTTTAAAAGAATAAAGATCTAGAGCTTTGTTATCCAATATGGCAACTACTAGTCCCATATCACCATTGAGCACTTGACTGGGGCTAGGCCCACCGAGAAGTGTTTTAAGGGTAAAATTCACACTGGACTTCAAAAAGATCTTGTATGGGGGCGCCATTCTTAGCAGGGAGTCTCTTTGAGACTCCCTTCCTCTCCTTCTGCCCCTCCCCCGCTCACAACACATGCACACACTCTAAAAATAAATAAATAAATCTTTAATTAAAAAAAAAGATCTCATATGAAAAACAGTGTGAGGGATGCCTGGGGTGGCTCAGCCAGTTAAGCATCTGCCTTTGGCTCGGGTCATGATCCCGGGGTCCTGGGATCGAGCCCCGCTCAGCGGGGAGCCTGCTTCTCCCTCTGCCTGCCGCTCCCCCTGCTTGTGCTTTCTGACAAATAAATAAATAAAATCTTTAAAAAAGAAAAAAAAAAAGGAAAAGAAAAACAGTGTGAAATATCTCAATTTTTCAGTTACATGTTGAAACGTTTTAGATATATTGGGTTAAATAAGTTATATCATTAATTCTACCTGCTTTTTAATCATTTAAATAATTTTAATAGCCTTTTAAAAATTACTATGTGGCTCATGTTGTATTTCTACTAGACAATGTGGATCCTGAATATTCTAGAATATTTCATATTGAATAAAATATCTGAAATAGTTCTCCATGTTAGTAATGCATATTTTAATAGTTTGTGTTTTTTTTTAAGTAGGCTCCACACCCAACACGGGGCTTGAATGCATGACTCTGAGATCAAGAGTCACATGCTCTACTGACTGAGCCAGCCAGGTACCCCTCTTAATCAGGTTTTTAATCTAGAAACAAGTATCTGATTCATCTAGAGTCTGAATGTCAAATAAACTCATCAAGCCTCCTTCAACTTAGCGAAATGCACAGGGCTGACTCATGTTCTACACTTTATTTCTTTAAAAAAAAAAAGATTTTATTTATTTCATAGAGAGACAGTGAGAGAGGGAACACAAGCAGGGGGAGTGGGAGAGGGAGAAGCAGGCTTCCCACTGAGCAGGGAGCCCGATGCGGGGCTTAATCCCAGGACCCTGGGCTCATGACCTGAGCCGAAGGCAGACGCTTCACGACTGAGCCACCCAGGGGCCGCTACATTTTATCTATTTCAAGAGTAGTGCATTTAGTGGCCATAAAGCAATTCTACATTGTTCTGAAACAAAGAAAAAATGGTTTTAAGGACATATCAACTGATAACGCAAACTCCCTAATCTACAGATTCTGCAGCTCTTGCCTCATTTTTATTTACTTCTATTAAAAGATGCTGGGACCCTGGTGTAAGAAGAAATAACAAGCAATCTACGTTTTCTTGCCACATTTTTTCCCTTGAGAGCTACAAAATAATGCAGCATGTCATTAAGTGGGCTGAGCTTTCCCACAGACATTAGGATAATTGAGCCTGAGTTCCTGACCAAGGACTCCAGATCAAAGAGACAAAGACATAAATAAAAGACAGAAGGAAATACACAATCTCCAGCCTGCAAAAGTATTCCAAATACTGAGAGGATCCATGGAGTGATGCGCCCGGAGGACGCGACCCCATAGAGGGTTTGGCCCACCCTGAAATTCTGAGGGGAGACGGAGACTCAGAGGAAGGGACCGGAAACTGACATTTGTTGAGCATCTATATATAGTTTGCGTATGTTGCCACTGAGCACCTGATCAGGGCCTCACACCCTCCTAAAGGCACAAAGGTGCTCATAAACCTGCGTGCTTATAACTTTACTTAAGGAGAAATCAAGTAACTTGTTAGTGTGGAGTCTTGTTCCCCACTCTGTATCCCCAGAAGAGGGCATCCTTTTTAACCATTCTGTAGCATTTTTTCTAACAAAGGCTATATAAACTGTGCATAAGTAAGCTATAATTATACATGGAGAACTGGGTTATTTTAAAGTATACAGACACTATATAAAAAACAAAGTTTCTGGGACTTTATTTCATCCCAAACATATTAGTTAACACAAGCAACTAAATACTCCATTAATCATCTTGCTTCCCACCTGAAAAAGGAGAATTCTTTGCTATTCAAATACATGTCCAGGAAGTGTAAGCTCAATACCTTTCTTTCTCCTCCAGTAAGTTACCCCTGGGACGAACAGAGGCAACCTCCCAAAATATCTGTTAGAGTTTTGCAATGGTCGAGGCATCACGAAGGTTTGTTCAGGAAGGGAGAAGGCAAGGACCTCCAGAAGTGAACCTACTCCCCATCCTGCCCTCCGCTATTTCTGCCTCCTCCGCTGCACAGTCTCCAGAGGCAGGGGGAGGGCTTGCGTGAACGGGAGTGGGGCATGGTCACCCTCCTGAGGACACAAAGGTGCTCATCACCCTCTGCGTGTGAAAACCAACTGCAGTGCGGGGACGACCTCCTCTGGTCCCAGGTCCTTCCACCTTGCGTCACTGCCACAGACGAGAGTGAGGAAGAGCGACAGAGCGAGGAAGTGCAGGCAGATGTTCAACAGCAGGGAATGAGCAGAGAAGGAAAGTACGCATGGCAGGAAAACAAGGCTCGCCTTATATGGGAAAACCATACAGCATTTTGTAAAATGCTAGATTTTGAGTAGTTTTTCACCCCCATTGCTTCCAACTGTTATCATAATGGGCCCTAGTGAAAAACGGACACGTCTTTTTTTTTTTTTTTAAAGCTAAAACACACAGAAAAAAACACATCTGAAAAGCACAAAACCTTAACACTGCACACTTCGGTGATATACTTGTAACTGGTTAAATGAGCAACAGAAATGCAATGTTGACCTTGCTATCTATCCCCTTCTCCTGATTCTACAGGCATAAAATGCTTATTGTTTTTCCCATTAAGTGCTGCAAAGATTCGCATGCTGCATATGCATCAATGCAAATTTATTCAAATTTTAAGCTAATGAATTAGAAAACAAAATCTCATCCTGAATTTTCATATTTAATCAATGATTAATTTAACCCAATGCCTTTAGGACATTCCCCATAAATGCCACATTCCTTCATCTGTATGTTTATAGTACTGTATGTATCAGGATACAGCTGCTTTACTTGAGCATGTGAAAAATGCTTCTATTATACATCCACAGTATTTATAAGTTCCCAGCACTGTTGACGTTACAGGGCCTGGAAGGCATAGAGCCCCTATATGAGCCAGCCCTCTGTACTCAAATTTCAAGACATTTCCCCTCTCGGCCTCCATGAAGGGAGGCCATCAAACCCTAAGCACTCATCCTTCTGCTGACATCGTCACTTCCCCAGCTCTCAACATGACTGACTAACACTGACCTAGAGAATGACTTCTTCTGGGTCCCATTTCTCTCCACCGTGAGTCACTGCTGAATCGAAGATAATGACAGTGAAATACCGAAGCCCTTATTCTCAATGGTTGGCGCATGAAGTACGGTACTAAGCTGCAGATGCCCCCTCTAACAGTGGCCTTCGTCTTCCAACGACATTAACTGCAGTCTGGTCCGTGTCTAGTGTGTCTACTGATGAATGTGGAGTGTTTCTACTGCTGGTAACAAACAGGTAAGTCAAGCTCAAATGACGATGAGCAAGGTGGAGTTAGTTCAGTTCATTACCTTGGGTTTCCCAGTTCCGGGAGGACTCTGGAACCACCTCGGGGGAAGATACAGGGAAGGGTGAGCAGCACGAACTTCCTCATACTGGCCTGACTACACCAGAAACTAGGGCAGCGAGCGGACAGCACCTCTCCCCACAGCGAAGTCCTCCTAGGAGTCCACTGGTCCCTTTCCATCAGACCTGCCATCAACATGACCCCTCAGCCTTACTCCCCTCCTCGTTGAAGCCAAGGGCGAAACAGCGATTCGCAATGCTGGGAGAGAAGGATGGTGTAGTGAGGCAGTGAGTCTTCATGTTGGCTGCGCCTGAGAATCACCTGGGGTGGGGAGGCGTCCACCATCCCCAGCCAGGTTGCACCCCAGGACAATTAAATCCGAATCCCTGCCTGGGGGTGGAAACCAGAGAGCAGAAGACAGTGAAGCTCCTCAGCTGATTCCAATGGACAGCAGAGTTTGAGAACCCGCAGTATATGGGGCATATCAGAAGTAAGGATTTTTTGGTTTCAACGTGAGCACCCCTCTACCCTCGAATTCACGCTTTCTGGAACCGATGCTCCTAACTGCAGAGTTTGATACTCTACGTATGGGTGGGTTGACTCCAGAAAAACAGACTGAGAACCACTGAGTTAGAGAATCCACAAGGCCCCCTGTTCAGCAATTCAGGGTCCATTTTTCTGTGATTCCAGGGGCGTCTCACAGGACATATGGAACATGATAAACATGAATGGAAAATGTCCCAATTTTGAAACCTTTCTGCAGGCAGCCATGGGATTACTGTAAAGTCGACTTTCTTGCAGAAAGTCATTTGGTTATAAACTTGGTACTGAAAAACAAGAAAAAGCTTTCAATCATGGGGGATCTTCCGATGCTCCCACAAAACTCTGGACGGTAACATTAATTACCTTCAACGGTCTTTCATGGGAAGCTGCAAAGGATATAGAGCAATGCACATTTTCCCTCTCACCCCATCAATGCAATCAGGAGTTGCGATTGTCACATGGTTTCCAACCGGGCCAATATTTGGCAGTTCCCACTCTGCCCCGTCAGCCACGTCTATGTTCTTTGTTCAGCAGCTCCGCACACACTGAGGCATTATGCTCTGGCTCTCAGCGAGAGCAAACAGGAAACACATTCTTTTTTCTGCAAGAGGAAGATGTAACTTTCTGCCTTCTATTTTTCTACTACACAGGGCCAGATTATTTCATTCCATCCATTTGGTTCCTACAACTCCCCCCCTGCGCCTTTTTCCCCCCTGTTTTGCCTGGTGATGGTTTTAAGAAACCAAGAATAGAAACGAAGTCGAAAAAGAGTGTTTTTTTTTTTTTTTTTTTTTTTTTTGCCTTCTGTCTCCCAAGCCAGTTATCTACAACAGAATCACAACTGATTCTGATGGTAACAATACCTCTTTCTCTGTAAAATATTTTCGCATGGCAGACCGCCCTCCAGCCTCCAGATATATACAACACTTTCCTTCATGGGGCGGTCAACAGCTTTCCAGGCCAACTAGAACGGGACATTAACCAGAAAGGAACTTAACTGCCTTCTCAGACCTGGATATGCAAACACGTTACCTGGAGACTTTGTTAAAAGGCAGATCCTGATTCCGCAGGTCTGGGGTGAGGGCCTAAGACCGTGGATTTCCAACAAACTCCCAGGGTTCGGTGACGCTGCCAGTCTCAGGACCGCAGTTTGAGATGCAAGGACCCAGACGGTGGTTCTCAACCTCGGGGCACCATGGAGTTACCTGGAGAGCTTTAAATACTGACGCCCAACCCCACCGCAGAGCAATGGAACCTGAATCCGTGGGGTGTGGCCCAGACCTTAATAGTTCAACTACTGCAGGTGATTCTAAGTGAAGCCAATTCCCGCAGAATCACGTCAGAAAAACAGTGCCTGGCCGCAAATTCTCCTCTCCATCTTATTAAATCTGAATGTGTGGTTAACAACCAATTCCCTTTCCCAGCGAGGTTAACATTTATGCTAGTAGTAGATCTATCCATTCATCCAACGAATATTTGTGCAATGCCTACAAAATCCCAGGCAAACTGTGCTCTGCGTTGGGGATACCACGGGCAACAAAGGAGAGGGTCCCTTACCCTCATAAGGCTGACAGTTCAGTGAGGCAAGGCCGCAGCCCTAACCTCTGCTCACTCGGCGCTGGTAGCCCCCCTCTCCAGGGGTGACAAGCAAACGCACCTCCAGACACTGCCCCAAGTCTCTTGATCCTGAGGGGCACAATCACCCCGGTCGAGAACCTGTCAGTTAGAAGGATGCTTTCTTCAATTCAAGGGCTGAAGAACACGGCTCAGTCTGACTCAGGACCCAAAAGGAAGCCATATCCTCCCTCCCAAGAGGACAAGTTCACTTACACGTGCAAAGCTGCCATGTCTCCACCATGGTGCATATTAAAACCACGTGGGGCGATTTAAAAAAATCTCTCTGCCCGGGAGGGAGGGGGGTGCGGGGGGGGGCACGTACCCCAGACCAGTCAAACCAGATGCTCTGGGAGTGGGGCTTGGGCATCAGTGGTTTTCCGAGCTCTGCAGGCGATCAGAACCAGTGACCTAGCACGTACTACTCACGCGTGGCGGTCCACTCAGAATCTGCAGTTCAACTAGATCCCCAGGTGACTCGGATGCACGTGCAAGTGGGAGAAACACTGCTCTGGAATTCATAAAAAACAGGACCTTCGCCCGTGCGTAGTCATGCTAGTCTTGTTTTCCCGCTGCACAAAGCAATTCAAATAAAAAACAAACAAACAAAAACCAACCTTGCAAAGGGTCATTTTTAAAGAGCTGCTTCTCAAGTTCCCCCCTCTAAGCCCAAGACGCCATACTTTGGGGGGTGGGAACAGCAAGGGAGAAATGTGTCGTGTTTGCCATTGTGGACATTTGTCTGAGCTTGCGGTCCCCCAAAGGGGGCCGGGCACACTGCTATGCGCTCCGTGGGCGCTTAATAAATACTTGTTGGCTGACTGACCAGCCCAGAGGTGAGAATGAAGTGTGTCTCTCTCGGAGTCGGGGCAAATTTGTCCACCTAACCACGTGCTGTGGTTGGAGGCGAGCAGTCCCACGTCCGCTGGTCCCTAGGTTGCGGAAGGCAGCGGGGCTGGAGGAGCGGACGGCGAGGGGAAGACCAGAAGAGCCAGATGCGAAGCAAGAGGCTGCAGAGAGCACGGAATGCATTACAGTTCTCGTGGCATGAAACGCACAGAAGAAAAGCATGCCAATCACTGCATAATGAATTCGCTTCTGGCTGCCAAAGTAGGAGCCACGGAACAATGAACAATTTGAGCAGCTTCTGTTTCCACAATGCAGCCTTGTGAATGTCCACAGGCAGAAAATTGTGCCTACCATGCACTGGGCATTTTTCTTTCTGGGCTGTGCTCTAGACCTAGGCAGCAAATTGTGTACCTAAGAGACAATTCATTACCGAGCTAGGAAAATGAACCTTTGAACCTCCTGTCCAGCAGAGTCCCCGGGTAGGAGACGGGATTTTTCTGGACACATTTGCGTCAGTAAAAGCAAGCGTTCCCAACGGCAGCGACCATTGCTAGCGAGCTCAATTCTGACGTATGAGAAGGACTTCAAGACTCTCCTTGTCAACTAAAGCATCTCCTAGGCAGAGCTGGTGCGTCATCGAGCACTGTCTTCGAGGACTCGGCCTTGTCAACTAATTTGACAAGCCGTCGGTATCTTCCATGAATAAGCTCTGACAAACCACAAACTAGATGGTGATAAGACAACCCACACTATCAGTTTCTGTGTACGATGAGGCAGCCGGTGGCCTACCCAAATTGTGCAACTAGCATGTTGAAAAGCCTGTGAGTACTCACTTCTTCACACAAAAACTGGGGTCTTGATTAATACTGACCTGGTGAACGCATGAGGAATTTTCATTTTAGCGCCTCCTCTGTAGAGCTCCTTCCAAACAACAAAATCGTTCCTCCTTCAATTACAGACTCACACATGCCTGAGTCAAAGACTGGCCATATTACTTTGCCTATACTCAGTGCAGTTTCGTCTTGTGCAGGTTGGGTTGCTGGATGGTGAGGAACACGACGTGATTTCTGAGGAGACAAGCTCAACAGATACCTGTGATGCTCAATTGTGATGAGGGAAGTCCTTGGGAAAACACACAAAGGCAACATTTATATACCATCCTGTACCCTTTCCTTTCCCAGGTCAAATACAGAAGAGCTTTGCTCCATTCAAATTTTTTTTTTTTAAAGATTTTATTTATTTATTTGAGAGAAAGAGAGCGTGAGCAGGGGGAGGAGCAGAGAGGCAGACTCCCCGCTGAGCAGGCACCCTCCATTCAATTCTTTTCTTTTTTAAAGATTTTATTTATTTATTTGACAGAGAGAGACACAGTGAGAGAGGGAACACAAGCAGGGGGAGTGGGAGAGGGAGAAGCAGGCTTCCCGCCGAGCAGGGAGCCCGATGCGGGGCTCGATCCCAGGACCCTGGGATCCTGACCTGAGCCGAAGGCAGACGCTTAACGACTGAGTCACCCAGGCGCCCCTCCATTCAATTTTCTTAAAATCATCTATGGTAACCTGTCTCCCTCCTCCCTCCCTTCCTTTGAGGCTCCAGCAATTTCCATGCGGTACCAGTTTGTTCCACAAAGAACTTGGGGCCTCCTTCCTGAAGCTTCTGCCCAAAATAAATGGTCTTATACGCAGCGCACAAGGGTCAGGAAGTATACATTCTCACCCTTTTTTCCAACAGTCTCCCTAATTTTTAAAAAAATTTAAAGTAATCTCTATTCCCAATGTGGGGCTCAAACTCATGACCCCAAGATCAAGAGTCATATACTCTACTGACTGAGCCAGCCAGGTGCCACCCCCCAATTTTTTATTTCTATGCCTCTATTAGTTGGGAATAAAAGTTCATATATTCCCAAAACCTGTAAAATGAGGTATATATTATATATGTAAAGTACCAGAAGTATGTATATTAAATATAAGTAAAGTTTAATTTATTTTTAAATAAATACAGGGGTGTCAGTAGGTCCTTCTTGTGCCCCATGAACCACCTTGTGCATCCCACTTTGGTGACCATGAATCTATTCTCCCACATTCTACTCAAGTGTGTCCCCCGGGTAAAGATAATTTGAGGCAATGAAAGAGAAAGAAAATACGAATCTCTTCTCTGATTTGTGTCATGAAAATTTAGTTTTAACCTTAAATGCATTTCTGGGAGTTTCCTTTCCTTTACAGAATGTTCTGGTGTAGAATTCCAATTCCATTTTCAGAATTCCAATTCCATTTTCCTTACAGCACTTTGCTGTGCAGTATGGTAACTCATTAACAAGAGGGGAAGAGGGGCACCTGGGTGGCTCAGTTGGTTAAGCGCTGCCTTCAGCTCAGGTCATGATCCCAGGGTCCTGCTCAGGGGGGGAGCCAGCTTCTCCCTCTGCCTCTGCCCCACCCCCCCCCCCGCTCATGCTCTCTCTCTCTCTCAAATAAATAAATAAAATCTTTAAAAAAAATTACCAAGAGGAGAAGATGTTCATGCTCTCAACGCTCATCACTCCAAAGTCTGGTCCTACCACTAAGGCAGAAAGGCAAGGATAGGCTTAAGGATAAAACTTAGGAGCTCAAGGGGCACCTGGGTGGCTCAGTCGTTAAGCGTCTACCTTCGGCTCAGGTCATGATCCCAGGGTCCTGGGATTGAGCCCCACATCGGGCTCCCTGCTCAGCGGGAAGCCTGCTTCTCCTTCTCCCACTCCCCCTGCTTGTGTTCCCTCTCTCACTGTGTCTCTGTCAAATAAATAAATAAAATCTTTAAACAAACAAACAAACTTAGGAGCTCAAAAGAATGTACTAACTTTTCCTATTCCAGAGACGGGAGTTCCAAGAATGATCCTCTACAAATACGAAACATGTTTCTTCTTCCATCGTAAGTACTGAACGAAACAACCAGTTTAATGCACGTGTGACCATTTATCCATTAGACCCAGGTTAATTAAGCACCTTATCATGGGTCAGGCTTGGTGCCAAATTTAACAAGTTGCAACCACTGCCCTCAAAGTGCTTCCAGGCTCATGAAGGAACTAGACATGGACCCAAGTAATTGTTAAACCACATGATCCAACAGGTAAGCGAGGCACATCCTCAGCAGAATGGTGCCACAAAGGAGAGAACATGAAATTGCCTATGGGCGGGGACCTCAGATGAATACTGAAGAAGAGAGTAGGGGTTAGTTAGGCAGACAAGGTGAGGAAGGGAACACAAACAGATTACGCGAAGTCATAGCATGATGAAAGATCATGGCAAGGGAGACAGGAATGGTGGGAGGTGGGGCTGGAAATACAGGGATAAGCCAATGAAGACTTGGAAAAAAAAATCTATCTATGTCCCTTTCATCAATGATCAAATCGATTTCTGAGATCTTTAACAAAATTCCCAGCATGGCGAGGAACATGAAATCATGCCTCCAATCACCACTTTAGGGTTGAACACTGCAGGCCCAAGAGGAGAATGAAAGGTCTTGTGGGCCGAGGGAAGGATGAAGAGAGGACTTTTCCCTTTGGCGGCCAGAACTGAACCTCTGTGGGAGTTTTTGCCTGGAGGTCCCCGTTACCTCCTGTGTCTAAACTCCTGACAGATACTTGCAGGCAGAGAGGGCTCGCCGGTGAGGTTTCAAAAGCAGAGGCCCAGTTTTACCGAGTCACTCTTTCTACTTATTCAGAGGCTCGGGGAAGGTTTTGCCGCGGGGGGCAAGTGCAGCTGATGCATGATGGGCAATGTGGGGTCACCTGAGGGTTTCATGTGGAGGACTGGGACCCTGAACAATGCGAGGCTGGCGCAACACTCACGCCTTCACGAAGCCTTGTCCTGAGCAGGTGTTTAGTAGACTTATCCTCAGGCAGGTACCAGATCTCCACAAGCAACTGTAACTACCGAGATTTCATTTGGAAGGTTATCTAACCAAACTTCACGCAAGCATAATCTGGATTGCTTAAATCAGGGGTCAGTGAGCTCCTTTGGTAAAGAGCCAGACAGTAAATACTCGAAGTTTCACAGGCCACATGCAGCTTGTCCCAACAACCAGAGCACAAAAACAGCCACAGAGGACAGGAAAACGAACGGGCCCGGCTGTGTCGCAACGAAACTTTAGTTACTAAAATGTGAATTTCATACAGTTCACACAGATCATGAAATAGTATTCTTTTTTTCTTTCAACCACCTAAAAATATAAAAACCATTCTCAACCTGCAAGCCATTCAAAACCAGGTGGCAGGCCAGATTTGGTCCATGGGCCAGAGTTTGCCAACTGCTGATCCAGATGGCCATTTTCTAACCAGATTTGATTCCCAAATTACATACCTGAGTTGGCAGGTGTGTGTATCATAACTTCTACCAAGTTACAGATTTTCACTCTAAATGTAGCATTTCTTTCTTTTTTTTTTTTTTTTTAAAGATTTTATTTATTTATCTGAGAGAATGGGAGACAGCATGAGAGGGGAAGGGTCAGGGGGAGAAGCAGACCCCCTGCCGAGCAGGGAGCCCGATGCGGGACTTGATCCCGGGACTCCAGGATCATGACCTGAGCTGAAGGCAGTCGCCCAACCAACTGAGCCACCCAGGCGCCCCTAAATGTAGCATTTCTTAAACATGGTCTCAAAGATCCTCGGGATCTTGTACCTAAGAATTCCAACTGAAAGGCTTATTTATCATTATCTGAGTTTCTCAAATAACCAGATTTCCCTGCTAGCTGGAATTGGGTTACCAGCTAGTGTGGGACCCCATGGTGGCCACACAGACAGAATCTACAACAAAACAAAATTCTTTCTGCCAAATACTGTCTTCCCCCTTCTCTCTGACCAACACATAACTGGAGTTGATGACGATTTACAGAATGTACTAGCCTCAATTTCCCTTCTTTTCTCTGCTCTGTGTCTGAGGGCCGATCCAAATGAAAAGCAATGGTCGCATTTGACCTAATGGCCAAAGAGGCAGGCAGACAGAAGGAAATCCAGGATCACCAAGCGCTGTGTGCTTTGGTTACTGTCCCTGGAGAGCCAAAGGTTTTTAATACTCTGCAAGTAAAGGCTTAGACCCCAGAAGCCACCTACTAGCTGGTGTCTTTACTTTCACCCACGAACCGGAATCCCCCAAGTCTGCACATGGCCATGTTGCCCAGAGCTGCTTTACTGCCCCCGCCGAGGGTGACAGAGCACAGCGCACGTACGCCTTTGTCATTAGGACGCTACACAAGAGGGGTGTTTGCCTTCCACGCGGGGAGGTGGTACTCTGCCGGAGGTCTCTCTCCTCCTCTCCCTGGGGTCTTAAACACGCCTGGAGATCTAGAGTAACAGGCTGTTACCCTGCAGGGCATTCCGTCTCTCCAGTCCTCAGGGGAGAACTTGCTGGCACAGGGCCTGGATCCTCCCCAGGGGTAAGCAAAGCTGGTTCCAAGACTGAAACTCACTGTCGCTTGGGGAAGGGTTCTCACTCTGGGACATCTCAGGGGACACCGTTTCCACAGCGCCTAGTGGAGACAAAGAAGCAAAGCCTGGCCACTCTGATCCCCTCCAGGTGACCCAAAAACATCTCTGCCCACTAAGCCTTTACGCAAGCCCACAGATTAAATGAGTGTGCATCAGTCACCGCATGAATGACACAGAACCCGTCCTCCCCAAACCCCCAACTCCAGCACCAAAAGACTTGGGAGAAAAAAAACTATGCTGGGGCGCCTGGGTGGCTCAGTCGTTGGGTGTCTGCCTTCGGCTCAGGGTCATGATCCCAGGGTCCCGGGATCGAGCCCCGCATCGGGCTCCCTGCTCAGCGGGAAGCCTGCTTCTCCCTCTCCCACTGCTTGTGTTCCCTCTCTCGCTGTGTCTCTCTCTCTCAAATAAATAAATAAAATCTTTTTTTTTTAAAGATTTTATTTTTATTTATTTGAGAGAGCGAGAATGAGAGAGAGACAGAGAGCACACGAGAGGGGGGAGGGTCAGAGGGAGAAGCAAGCTCCTCGCCGAGCAGGGAGCCCGATGCGGGACTCGATCCAGGGACTCCAGGATCATGACCTGAGCCGAAGGCAGTCGCTTAACCAACTGAGCCACCCAGGCGCCCTAAATAAATAAAATCTTAAAAAAAAAAACAAAAAACAAAACTATGCTGTGCTACTGTGGTACATTTAGACAAAATACTGTGAAATCTAGCGTATCAGACAACCTAGACGGTGAAAGGTGGTTTCATGCAATTTCCACCCAAACTTGATCTATGTGAGTTTGTAGAAGGCAATTCTTTTCATCCATGGATCTTAAGCATCTATCTCATTTGTCTTATGGTTAGAAATTAATATTCCTAATTTAGCATACTCGTCCGCAATAGCTGAAACATAGACTGAGCTATCTTACTGTAACTTTCTGCTACAAACTAAATCATAGCTTCAGACATCCATTTGCCACCAATTATTTACGTCCAACCAAAAAATTCGTAAAACCTCATGAGAATAAATAACACAGCAGATCAAACAGTTGGTCAGAAATACAATGTTGGGTTCTCTTCTGGAAGGTGATTTGCTATGGAACCATTTTATATTTTAGAGCTTGCTTCTGCAGCAAAAGAAGTCTGCTGCTTTTAACCTCTTTGAAAGAAATAACATATAAATTTGCTAAAATGTGGAGGTTTATATAAGCAGAGAGCCAAAGCCGACCTCCCATATATCCCACCCCCCCCCCCGCCCCCCGCCCGCCCCATCCTCTCTGACAACCTCTCAGCCCTCGGAGACATAAAGGATAACAGTAAGCAAGTTGCAGTCACTGCTTTCCCTGAAATGTTACAACATCATTTTGGTGAGAAAAGAGCTCATTGTTACTTGCCATGCAAATATTTTCTTTTGGGGATTTTTCTCGTAATGGGAGATCTTAATTTGAGAGTGTGCACTTGGGGTAACTTGGCTGATGCGCTCTGCTTTCTTTACAGCTTCTAAATATACCCACATAATCGCAACAGCCCAGAGGGGCCAGTAAGCTCCTTAGCATCTCCCTGCTCTGACCCTGCCCCACAGTAAAAGCATGGACAATGGCCACTGTTGAACTTGCAAACTGAATTTCTGCAGAACCTCATATAATCTGGTACTTTTTTTTTCATTTTTAGTTGTTTTAAGATTTCTAAACTTGTGTTGAAACATGCTGCTTTCATTTCCCAAGAGGAGAATAATATTCCTTTAGCAAAATTCTTCGGTCAAGCCCATGTGTATTTTGGAACAGAGCAAAAGCAGGGGGAAAAAAAAAAACAACCGTATCATCTGGGGGGACAAAATCGTAGACAATTAGTAACAAACTTTTCTGGAAAGTGACTAGCATGGAACAGGATTTTCCAGACTGTATATTGAGGACTGCAAGTTCCAAGAGATGGTAATATGTATTCCACAATTATCTTCAAAAAATGATACAATTTATATCCCTATCATGGAAATTAGTAATGGACTTTAGAAGATTAGCAGCAAACCAACTTTTTAAATCTCAGTGTTCCAGAAATTTCTGTGACCTTAAAATCCCCATTTTCCTTCCAGGAATAGCCGTCAATATCTTGAGATATTAGTGTCCAGTTGATGGAACAGAAATGCTGAGATACGATTAGGGTTTTTTTTTCTTTTTCTAATC